GGGGGAGACAGCCCTCAGTGTGAGGGGCTAAGCCTACAGCCCCTATGTGAGTGCACAGGTGCTGTTGGAGCCAGGGCTGAGGGGTGTGGGGCAGCCATGCCGGGCCGCTGTGAGCACCCCTTCGCAGGCGCCTTCAGCCTCCTGAGAGAGAAGTTTTCCCATGCACCGAGCCCTGACATGAGCCCTGCCTCGCTCTCCATGCTGGAGCAGCTCATGACCGCCCAGGCCCAGGAGTGTGTCTTCGAGGGTCTCTCGCTACCAGCCCCCATGGCCTCTCATGACTGCTTGGCTCAGCTGCGCCTGGCTCAGGAGGCCGCCCAGGTGAGGACGGAGAGCCCTTGTCCCAAGGGAGACCTGTACAAGCATCTTGGGCCTTCAGTCTGGGCCTGGACAAGCTGCGGTGACTCAGTGGGCAGGAGGGCCTGTAGTAAGTGCCTGGGCAATATGCAGCAGCTGTGTCTCCTACTGGTTCCCAAAGCCAGGTATTGTTCTGGTCTCTGGGGGGCTGGTCAGGACCCAAGGTCCTGAGTGTGAGGGGCTCTGGGACAGCACTAATCAGAGCAGGAACTGGGCAAGGGGCAGTGCTGCTGGGACTTTGGCCAAGGCCGGTAGAGTCTGGTCCCTAGGGTGGGGCCTGGTGGGGCTTGTCCTGGAGTCCTTTCAGAGGTCCCACTGTCCTGCCCTGTGCACTGGCAGGTGGCAGCCGAGTACCAGCTGGTGCACCGGGCCATGGTCCAGCCACCAGTCCGAGACTACATCCCCTTTACCTGGACCACCCTGGTGAACGTCAAGGCAGAGTACTTCCGCTCCTTGGCCCACTACCACGCAGCCACGGCCCTCTGTGATGACCCCTGTGAGTGCCCAGCCCCAAGAGCCTGTGTGCTGGCAGAGACCTCGACGCAGAGGGGCTCATACCCCTCTCTGACCCCCAGCAGCCAAGGCAGAGCTCCTGGCACTGGAGCAGGTCTTCCTCAGGTCCCCAGCTCCATCTGAGTCCTGGTACCCCACACTGCCGCAGGTGCCTGAGGAGCGCAGGAAGCTTGGTGAGGCAGCCACAGGAGGGTGCTGGGGCCCCCTGCAGGGGGGCTGAGTGGCCCACCCCACCCAACCATTCACAAAACGCCCCTCTGGGCACTCCTGGTGTCTCAAAGCTGGCGGGTGGGGTAGCCAACCTGCTTCCTGGATGCCCCCCAGCCTGCTGGGTGACTCCGAGAGCAGGGGCCCCAGCAACTGCGGCAGCCTTCTTGGCAGGTGGAAGCACACCTAGGGGGCTTTCCCCCAGCCCAGCAGTTCACCCCTGGCAGCTCCTCATGGACTGGCTGTCAAGATGGATCCAGAAGCTGTCACCTGCCCTCTTCTTGTCACATCTGGGGCGGGGGAGTTGGGGTGCAACCTGGAAAGGCCAGATGGGCAACCTGGAAGGGCATGTGAAATGCGTGTGCTGGCCATATCCCATATCCCATACAGGCAAGGCCCACCTGAAGCGTGCCATCCTGGGGCAGGAGGAGGCGCTGCGGCTGCACGCTGTGTGCCGTGCCCTGCGCAGGGTAGACCTGCTGCAGGCTGTGCTTGTCCAGGCACTGCGGCGCTCGCTGGCCAAGTACTCAGAGCTGGACCTTGAGGACGACTTCTTCGAGGCTGCTGAGGCCCCTGAGATCCAGCGTGAGCAGCCTGGCCCCTTGGGATGGGTGTGTCCTGGACCTGAGGGTTGGGGGAGCTGAAGCCCTGCAGCTGCTGGTTCAGATGCAGTCACCTTCCACAACCCACAGAACTGTGAGCTGAAGGAGCAAGGTATTTGGGGGACACCCACGCTGCAGCCCCCTTGTTCTGTGTCCCCCACTCTGCACCTGATTCATGCCCAGCACCTCCTGCACCACCAAGGCAGGAACCACCTGAGTCTCCTCCCATAGTGGGGTGCAGCCAGGCCGCGGATGTCCAAGAGGGACCAGTGTCACCCACTCTGCTGTGGCTGAGCCACATCCAGCTGTGTCCCAAGGGCTTGGAGGCCCATGAGCCTTGGACTTAACCATACCCTACCTTTTCCTTTGCCCTTTCAGCTAAGACGTACCAAAGAGCGGAGGTCAGGGCACCCAGCTTCTCCCGGGTGAAGGTGGCTGATATCTTCCACCGACTGGTGAGCACCCTTCCCATTTTCACTGCCCTGGGCAAGGCCCCCAGACAGGCCCACAGTGGTGATCCAGCCCTGCCTGGCACCTCATTGGTTTCTGTCCCAGGATGTAGAGATTGGGGTGGCAGTGTTACAGGCGGAGACTCCTCCAAGAGAGCTGCCTAGCCAGGCCTCTGACCTGTGATGCCCCTCAGGGGCCCCTGTCCGTGTTCTCAGCCAAGAACCACTGGCGGCTGATGGGTCCCGTCCAGGTGACCCGAGGGGAGGGTGGCTTTGGCTTCACGCTGCGGGGAGACTCGCCCGTCCTCATCGCTGCAGTTATTCCTGGGGGCCACGCTGCGGTAAGGGCCCAGCCCTTGGGCTAAGTGGAGGTGGCTTGTGTGGTGGAGGGAGACCAGACTGTGGCAGGGGAAGGGGGTATTTATGTGGGACTCCAGACTAGACTGTCCTGTTTCCCTGCAGGCAGCTGGCCTACAGGAGGGCGACTATATCGTGTCTGTGAATGGGCAGCCATGCCAGTGGTGGAAGCATGCGGAGGTGGTGGCCCAGCTGAAGGGTGTGGGTAATGAGGGCGTGAGCCTGCAGGTGGCGACCCTACTGCCCAGTGCTGAGCTGCCCAGCATGGTGAGCCCCTGGCCCTTGGGAGGGTGTCCCCACATCCTTGTCCCACCCAAACCTAGTCCTTCAGGCCCCAGACATCCACAGATGCTGCACGGGCTTTGGAAACGGGAGGCTGACGCACAGGCGCCCTCGTTGGGGTGATCTCCACCCCTCCCAGGGCCTGTGAGTCCACACCCCCTGGAGGCTCCGGGCAAAGGTGCTGCCTCAGGAGCTCTGTCTCACGGCTTCCACCCACCCCAGCGTGGCACACCTGTGGGGACCCCACTGTTGGGCTGCCCTCACACAAACCCCCAACATGCCCTCAACACACCACCTGCCTCCTCCCATCACACGCACCAGACTGGCCACAGGTGGGCCAAGCCAGGCCTGTTGACCACTGCTTATCTCTTCCCAGCTGCAGGGGGACCACAGGCCAGCCCTGCGGGGGCTTCTGAGGAGTCAGAAGGACTGTGGCTGGGAGACGCCAGGGCCTGCCAGAGCCAGCCCCAGGCCCCTCCTTGGCTGGAGCTGCAAGGCCAAGAGGGGCAAGACTGGAGGGAAGCTGTCCCCAATCCCCAAGCCCTGAGCTGCCACCCTGGGTGTCCAGGGAGGCAGTGAAGGGTGGGCTCTCCACACAGATGGGCCCCAACATAGTCTTCAGCTGGCTGGGAGCGGGGACCCCCTTGTGTCCTCCCCCGACCCTGGAGGACCTTCAGGCCAGATTGCTGCCCAGCCTAGTGCCCAAGCTGCCCATTAAAGACAGTGTCAGATAAGGTGTGTCTGAGCCCAGTGTAGGGGCTGGCACTGCACCCACACGGAAAGTGTCACTGTCACTCTGAACACATAGTCCAAGGGCCAGGAGGCTGCGTCTGAACTGCCCTGGCCCAGGATGAGTAGGGAGTGTCTAGCTGCTTGTATCTGAGCCTGAAGGAGCCATTCCCCACGAGCTGGTGCAGGGTGGGACGGTGTGTCAGCAGTGCACCCCTGCAGCCCAGCTCCTCACCCTCCCTGCAGTGGGTTCCCAACATCCCTCAGCTGGCCTGTCTCCCTCCTCCTGGCCCCCAACATGCCATGCCCTGTCCACACACCCCCTCGGGGCTGGGTTCACCCCAGGTGAAGCTTCTACCTGGCCCACAGTGATCTGCCAGACAACCCTCCACCAGCCTGCCAGGCACCCATAGCCTGGACAAGGCTCAGCTCCCTCCCTGGCTTCCAGGTCTCCTTCTTGCCCCTCCCTTCAACCAAGGTGCTGTGCATGGCCTTCCCTCTGGGCAGGGTTCCAGTGAAGGCGCACTCCTACAATACCTATTACTGTCCCCCTTTGTGCATGGAACAGGGACCCCCCCCCTTCATGTTCCCTCATCCTGACATGTCGCACCCCCTTTTGTGTTGAGGGCCTAGATCTCATACCGGCCCCACTTGCTGCACAGTGTTCCCCTGCAACCCCTCCCAGCTGCCT